CACACATACATACATACATACATACATACTATATTTATATATATATACAGAAGGGTTTGCTGGTCAACTACTTAAGCGTACGTTTATTGCCAGTGTCACAGTCCAATGGTTCCCGTATAGTCACACACATATGTTGCGTTGTAGTCGATTATTTGCATAAATGTGTGTACCTTCTGATTGGCTATCACCTCCTGCCAATCTTGCACCAGCAGAGCCTTGAGATCATTTGAGATTTTAAGCTTGACCTCGATTTTCTCATTGTATTCTTCTTCCTGTAAGTGTAGGTAGTTGTCAGTAGGTGTACATTTTGTTGGTAGTTGTCAGTAGGTGCAGATATTGTAGGTGAGTGTGTGATGAAGTTCGGTATGAATATGCGTACGCAAACGACTGTAAGGTGATATACAATAACAACAATATGGGAGTAACAGTACTCGTTCAATCTCCGACTATACACAAGTCAATGCGCATACATTTTTGGATAATTTGAAGAAGGTATATCATGTATATACGTACATACTTATGATATATATACACACATACCTACAATTTGTACAGAAATACTTACAATGTATATGCATGTATACTTATAATACATGCATCCTTACAATACATATATAAACATAATTGCAATGTATATACATACATACTTATAATATATATCTATATACATTTAATATATATACATACATACTTATGAGTATATACACACATACTTATAATGTATATATACATAGCATAACTGCTTATACGTTTCTCATTTACAATAGCATTGGTGCGTACAACCTTCCCTTGTGTCTACAACAAGGGAAAACCCACTTTGATGTAGATATACATATTCATATAACACACATATATATATACACATTCGCACATATATACCCATACCGTTTCCACGGCCAGTTGTTTCCTGGTTTCAGCATCCGGCGCTTTGGGAGTCTTCTTCTTGCCCTTCTCCTCCTTTCGTTTCTTCACCAACATTTGTTTTTTTATTTTCTTCTGTAGTTCGCGATTCTCGTTGTTGTACTTGAGCACACGAGTGTCGTCAACGTATTCATTCCACCTGAGATATACAAAGCCAATGTCAGTATAACTATGATTAAAATAAAATAAAAATATATATAATTATATAATTATAAA